TTAGCATACTTTCGTTTGATATTGATACGGCAGAGCATTATAAAGTGTACTGTAGTTAGATCACTTTATTGTGACTTAAAACTTGCTGGGAGAAAAAGCGACCATTACTTTTTTAAAAATTTGTTCTTATATGACAGTAGAGTGTATTTTGACATATTATACATACATGGAGTGTAACTTCCCATTCTTTTGGTTGTACATGATGTGAAGTTTCACTAGTTGTGCATTCATATATGAACACAGGAAAGTTATGTCTGATTCATTCTACTGTCTTTTCTATTCTCATTCCCACTCCCTTCCCTTCATATCCCTTTTTCTAATCCAGTGAACTTCATGATGACTTTGTTGATATTACTCAGACTAGATCCAAAAAAAAGGTCAATTTTGGTAGAGTGCATAAAATGTTTGACTTAAATGAAAAATACTTTTTAATACTAGACCATCAAATTCTTCAATATAAGTATGCTTAATGAAATAAAACATGAGTAGGGTATTGCACATCTAATAAACATTGTGCTAGGACAAATAAGGCTGGATAAAATACTGTCTGTGAATCCAGCCTTTGCTTTGTTTGGGGTGTGTTACTCATTCGAGGTTCAACTGATCCCCTTATTGTGGGATCCTGACATTTAACTTCATCAAGATGCCTTTAATGCTTGAAGTTTTATTCACGGAAGAACCATTGTTTATTTAGTTTTAAAGTTCCAACCAGAACATCTCCAGAAGATTAGTGTATCCTGCCAAATAATACCTTTAGCATTGTAAAGCAGTCAGTGTGATTGAAATCCAGGACTTAATCTTCCATGAAACTTGTGTTTATTCAAGCAAAGTTCAACTGGTCAGCAAAGGACAAGAATAAATTAGTTATACAATGAAAGAATTATTGGGATAAACAATAGAAATTAGGAAACTTTTCCCCAAATAGAAATATTCTGAAAATACCTCCTGTCAACTACATTTTTTTTTTAAAGTAAGGGTAATGGCTTTTTCTTATGCCAATTGTGGGATAACAATATTAGAAACACAAGTCACTTTTTCTCCAATCCATTTAATTATTGACTTGTTGATGTTAGTCTCTTGAGTCTTTTATGTCTAGGGCTCTTGTCTCTTGAGGATTTTCCTCCTTCAAATTATGTGAGCATTAATATAATCACCTTTACTGGGGCTTCTCTTTGTTTTAGAGTTCCCTAAACTGAATGCATGGCTTTCATTTCATTTCATTACAAAGACTTCATTTTAAAACTTACTCAAATGTTACCAAAGTGTTTAAAGGTGAGACTATGATAGGCCATGAAAGTCTAAAGTCCTGATACTAATAAAAGAGAATAAGAGGTCCCAGTACACATAGACCTGTACACATTGCTTTCTTTCTTTCTTTTTAAAATATTTTTAGTTTTAGACGGACACAATACCTTTATTTATTTTTATATGATTCTGAGGACCAAATCCAGTGCCTCACCCATGGCAAGAGCTGTACTACTGAGCTACAACCCTAGCCCTTTCTGTTTTTTTTATACCTTTTGTTATCTTGCTTCCTAAAATTTTGCCAGACACTCCCTTTGGTTATTTCAGACCCAAACAGAAAAGGTCGATGGCAAATATTTTTCAGAGGTGTGGAAAATTAATTCTATACTGTTTTCTTGAGAAATTGTGACCATTTCCACCCCTACTACATTTTTTATAAAACTGTTGGGGGAAAGTAGGAAGCAAAACCAGTGGCAAGTCCTTGAATTTCAGTTATTTGGTTAATGCAGGAGAAGTGGGGCCATCTGCATATGACATGGTATACCTGGGAGGCGTCAACAGATGGGATCACCCCATAGAGCTTACTGGGTATGCTTATCCTCACTGGGAAAGTTAAAAATGCCATGGAAGGAATGAGTATATCTTCAGGATTGTGTCATGTTGTATTTATGTCATCTAGAGCTCAGGGTTGTGATTTAGATTGAGGAAGTCAGCAGAGGGACACTGTGTTATAATTTTACAGTTATGATCAGCCACTTCACTCTTTGGAGAAGGCATTTTTAAAGTGAGCAAATAGAACAGTTGCCCAGCCAGTTCATCTCTAAGTTGCACTTTAGCCATGAGATTAGTTATTTCTTTATTGCCTTATGAATTAATAGTTTTATAGCATTTGAAGCAGACTTTTGTGAAGTGTCACATGTTTGCAAACTATAACAACTATTATACCTAAATCATATTTTATTTGTTTCCACCTTATTCTTCCTGCCCAAAGTTCCCTTTCCCATTTGACCATTACTACTTTTACTCTGTCTCATTATCCTTTCCCAGTTTTGTCCCTTTGATGTTTGTCTTTCATGGCTAGGAGTTTTATAAAGCACTAGCCTTTACGAAAGAGATGGATTTTTTGTGGTAATCTCTGTACTCCTCTCACCCCCAAATAAAAGATTTACTGTAGTTAACAAATTTAGGTGTCAGAATTCTTTTGAGACCATTTGTTGCCTCTCTGGCCCTGCCCGGGCTTATGGGTATACAACTCAAGGTTTGTTCCTGTGGTAATATCTCAGTTGAGAAATCATTGAGGAGCATCAGGCTCAGATACCCAAAGCCTTTCCTTTTTTTTTTTTCCCTCTCTCTCTCCCCCACTTTCTTCCCTCCCCTCCCCTCTCTCACTCTCTCTTTCTTCCCTCTACCCCAGGTTTGCCTAATGTTTCCCCATAATACTTCTTTGAAGAATGGCTGTGCCTTAGGGCATCTGGCAGCTAATGCTTTCAGCTCTGAAACATCTTAGGTTCAGGCACATGAGTTATAGAATTTCGGTTAAGATTTCTTTATAATTGCATTTACAAACAACAGGGCTTTTGAATTCTGGTAGTATTTCTTCCTATACATAAAGTGATTTGAACTAAGAAGATGAAATTGAGTCGTACAGTTCTTACATGTAGTTGGTATCACAGTCTAAATTTCTTGATGGCAACAGGTATACCTTATGTATCATTGTATCACATGCCTGGAACATAGTGAGCATTCTAAATTTTTGTTGAGTAACAAATGGGAGAATAACAGGAATAAAGAAATGGCAATATAAATTTAAGAATAGCTTATGCAGTGTTGTAAAAACTTCTTTTAAATGATGTTTAGGAATCAGTGGAATGCCTAACTGTGGCATGACCATACATGACCATACAGAGAACATACTTATAGATGGTCAGTTGGGCAGCTAAATGATAAGGTTTGTTCCTGTGGTAGTATCTCAGTTGAGAAATCATTGATAAATGATAAGGGTGTTCTTGGCTAGCATGCCGCTCCTTGGGGCTACAGTCAGGTTTTCTTCATATGCTCATGCTTAAATCATAATAAATAATTAGATATTTAAAATTAATTTTAATAAGAACAGCAAAGTGACAAGATTAAAAACAGTGTTAAAGAAAAATCTTTTGAAAAAAAGTACGAGGCTTAGTTTTACTACATATTTTTTATGTGTGTGCATAATTCATATAACTGTATTAACAATATATTTTTTCTTGTTTTTTTTCCCAGCTAACATGGTAATTTTCCATGCAATCAATATATTTTAATTCTGCACACATGTGAGATTATGCAACCTGGCATCTTAGCATTTGTGTAGAAATTTTGCCAAATTATTTATATAGGCCAAGGGTGAATAAGACTGAATTTCTTAGGTTAGTACATTAAATATCATCTGGTTGCTTTTTTTTGGCAGTATACTTTTGGGAATCTGGTTTTATTTTGTGGCTAAACAGAAAGAAGATAGTCCATACTAGTGGGAGTTTTAGGGAATTTTTTTTTTAAATGTATGTTTCTGTTTTCTGAGTATGTCATGATTGAAATTAGAAAAATGTAAATTATTTATGCAGCTGAGGAGATTCTTTATGTTGTTGATTTGTTCAGAGCCCTTTTATAGAAAAAAATGTTACTAAGTGATGTGTTTACTAGGTGAAGTGAGTCTTTCAACAGAACTTGAAGTTCTTTTATAGTTAGATATTTCTAGATGGATGTTTGAAAATGGCACTGTGTATTTGAATTATGTCTTTGAACCTTCTCCAACTKTTTTTTTCTGTGTGACCTGGATGAGACATCTAATCATACCTGAAAAAGTAGAGATAAAAAAATTTGGTGTTGTGATTGTGATTATATTGATAAGTTCATATTCCATAGGGCTACTGTGAATAGAGGGAGCATTTAAAAATTGTGTTGGGCTCTTTTGAACAACTTTTTCAGTGTGTGGTAAATTGTTAAGAATCCCCCATTCTTAGGAGGAAGTGTAGATAAAGACGACAGGGACCTAGAAGCTATGTAGTATGTCCTTATTGATTACAGGTTTCTTCTGAGCATAGGACTTAGTAGACATAGGCATTTGGCCTTGTGGATCAAGGAGTCCCAGCCCAGGACTGGGTGTGCTGACTCATCTGGTGTTTTTCCTGCAGTGCCTAGCCCTGTGTTGATTGGGTAGTTTTTTTTAGCTTGAGAAAGATCTGTCATCATTTTCAACTAGCAGCTTCCACCAAACCTCCTGATTCCAAAGAGTAGAAGACTTGTTAGTTCCCTTGCCCTATATCATTGATAAATCAAATATAGATTTATATGTGTATATATGTGTGGGCATGGAGGGCTGGGAGTAAGATCTTTCTAATTCAGAAAGAGTGGGTTATTTCTATTGAAGATGGGGTTTGAGTGGAAGAGAGAGAGCCGTGATTGAAGGCTTACACAGCACAAAGTATTGTTAATCTAGTGGAGCAAATTTAGACTGAATACTGACAGTGCAAGCAGAGACCAGGCCCTTGGGGTCTTGTCCAGTTTGAGAATGTCTTACTTGCTATAATCATTAAAAGGACAACTTAAAAAACTAGGGATTGGTTGTAAAATTACTGTATAGTTTTAGTGAGTGGGAGTTAAATGAATTGTTTCAGAAAATAGTGGGAAAAAAATAGCCACACATCCTTAGCTAGAGTTAGGCATTCCTGAATCAATGAGAATCGTCATTTTGTTAATTTCATCAACATGTTCATTTCTTTCAGCTCCATGTTCATGCATGTCTTTTAACCCGGAAACCAGAAGACTGTCCATAGGTCTAGACAATGGTACAATCTCAGTAAGTACACATAAATAAGATTTCCAGTTGAAATACTTCCCTTCCTGTGGAGTATGTATTTTTGTATTGTGATGAGAATTATTTCTTAGTTTTTTCAAATTAACAGAATCATTTTCTTGCTAAGTAAAGTGGAAATTACAGTGAAGCATGTTATRGTGAAGGAAGTGATTCTACATAGGGAGAGCTGTCATCAGTCTACTGATATGCTGACGAAGCTCAGCGTGACCTACCACASGTACAGTAGCCAGGCTAGGGACTTTCAGAGGCAGATGAGTGAGCTGCTTGAGTCTGCCTTACTAAGAGCAAGCTGAGATACTGAACTTTGATCAGATGATTAAACATGGTGTTAACTTTCCCACACAAGCAACAGAACCCAAGAGAAATGCCTTTTTTTTTTTTAAACATCTGCATGTCTGATCTTGTCTTTGATACTCTGTGTTCTCCTCCTTCTACTTTCTGATTTCCCAGCTCCCTCTAGCACGTGAATAGAATTCTGTAAATTTGTATGAATTTGTCAGGAAAGTGCAGAATCTAGGTTTTAGTCTGTAGGATAGATCCAGATTAAATATTAGACCCTTTGATTGTAGATCTTGAGGGAATTGAAGTGATTAGAGATTGGAATTTCAAGTTATATCTACCTTCTTAATCTGACATACTGAGTTTCAAGTAGTAAAAATTCTGCTCTGTACATTCTCTATTTGATTAGCATTGCTTTTAGTCCTAGGCAGGAGAGGCTGTGCTTTGGGACTTGTGAATGAGAACGCACTACTCTGGCCACACGTGCCCCCAGCATGAAGGGCCTGAGGGCCTGAGGGGTTGGACCAGCCTGAGCCTCACTCCCTCTCTCCCTGCATCCTCTGTGCACTGGGACTGTGGAATTTCTTGCCCTCAAATAGCTCAGAGCTCCTTCCAACATCTTCCTGGGCCTTTTCCCTGGGTTGGTCCTTAGGAAGGTAAAACCAGTGAGTATATCCTTAGTTCTGAGGAGTGCCTAAAGGGGAGCAGTTTGAGGTCAGTAGGATGTTCACACGTGTCTGTAGGGCCCCTCAAGATGTTGACAGAACTGGGGAAAGGGAAGAGCAGGGGGCAGGCTGGCCACAGAGACGTAGAACTTCAAAGAATCCAAGAACCTGTATTGTCAGGTAATTGAAGGTCTGTTTGTCAGTGTTAGAGATGAGGCCACATGTTATTTAATGGTCTAACTTAATARCCCTCTAATTTTTCTTTTTTGGCACTGGGGATTGAACCCAGGCCTCACAAATCCTTAGGCAAGTGCTTGGCCAGTGAGCTATTTTCCCAGCCCTTTTTGTTTTTTATTTTGAGGGTCTTGTTAAATTGTCTAGGCTATATCTGAACCAATGATCTTCCTACCTCAACCTCCCAAGTAACTGAGATGACAGTGTTCGCCACTGTGCATGGCTTAGACATATGAAATATGGGCTTCCAKTTGTAGTCTTAATCCTAGTCCCTATCAGTGTTAAAGATAGGCCTGAAATTTTCTGAYCTTTGGTCAAAACATTTGTGGAGTGGCCTTTATGGAAATATTGAACAATATTGTATATAGGAGCCTATTGGCAAATATTTRTGGAATTTCCATAATATCCAATGCATTTGGTAGGTCGAATTTCCATATGCATTTGGTAGTTAAGGGAAGATATAATATCTACCTTTATATACTTTAAGAAGAGCCATTTTTAAAAGGAGGGATGTGTTATTTATAGGATAAATTCATTTTTAAAAGATTAGAGGAGACTGGGCATGGTGACATTTGTCTGTAATCTCAGTAATTTGGGAGGCTGAGACAGGAGGATTGCAAGTTGGAGGCCATCCCAGGCAACTTTGCAACCTGGGCAACACTGTCTCAAAATAAAAACTTTAAAAAGGACTGAGGATGTAGCTCAGTGATAGAGTACTTGCCTAGCATATGTGAAGGTCTGGGTCTAATCCTCAGTACCACAAAACAACAATAGATAAATAAATAAAATTAAAGGGATTGGATTGTTCAGTTTACTAAAGTATTCTTTACAAAGGAAATCTGAAAAGATGAGCTGAGATTCATGAATTACCTAATAGTTCATAGAATCATGTGTATAACATTCATTGTCCCTGAAAAGACTTAGATGCATATTTCATATGGGTGGTTCTCTGTACTTTTGAAATATTGGTGATTAGTGGGAGCTGATAAATGAAGGCAAGATAGGAAACCAGAGCAAGTGATGGAGAGTTCTAGCTGTTTATTGTTTAGAAGAGGAGAAACCATCTTAGCCATTATTCCTTTTAGTAAATGAAACTGCCAGAGAGCTGGAGCGTCTGTTAGGTACAGGGACTTGGTCATTTCCCTGCCTGTCAGAACAGTCGAGATACTAAACCTCACTGTACTTTGATCTTTCAAAAAGGATTGCGGCCCTGGCTTGTATAAGATAATTTCCTTAAAACTGCCTCCTTTATGTTATTGAAGAAAATGAATTGTACACCCTATCTGAGGAATTGTAAAGAGCTCTGAGTTAAGGGAAGATACATTGAGAGAACAGCATGTTTAACATTCAAGATTCTCATTGATCACTATAATAACACGTTCTTTGCTGAAAATAGACTTTCAGCTGTTAATAGTTTACTTTCTAGACATGAGAAATCCTGTTTCAGAGACTATACATTCTGTTTCCTGAATATAGCAAATTTGAAGAAGAAATACTGGTTAAATCTTTTAAATAAAGAAAAGACACAACCGGAAAGTAAATCCATGTTTCACTTTATTTTGCTAAATACAAAACATATTGTGAAACCTTTGAATGACAATTCAAATTAGGTTACTGAGTAATGAATTACAGATGAAGTAGAGAAACAAATTCGCCTATTCTTTAAAAAGATCTTGGCCACAGGGAAGGAGAGGATGAGCCCTGGAACTAGTCTGGAGAAGAGACAAATAGCAAGAGAGTACACAAGAATTTAGAGAATTAGCTATGGGCAAGAATGAGGGCAATTTTGAAATAGAAGGGAAAGAGACAAACATTCAGTTTTTACATGTAGAAGAATACCTTTGCCCCCATGAAGCAGCGGATGAGATCACCTACAGAGAAGAGCTTAAAAATAAAGAGTCTATTTTCATACCTATATCTTTTGCTTTTTCTGATTATACCRCTCAGAATTCTCTTCTTGGTCTGCAAAGTCCTTGTTATCTTCTGAGGCCTCATTCAACTGGTATTTTTCCTATTTTATTTTAGGCATATGATTCCTATACCCTACTGATTAAAATTAATCACATATATTATTCAATAGGTTAGCTATTTGATTGCTTATTTAATTTCTGCTTTGAAATGTTTTCAAGTCTGTCTCTTCTATTAAAGTGTTGAATGTTAAGGATTTGGCCAGTCTTTTTATTAGTGTGTGTGTGTGTGTGTGTGTGTGTGGTGCTGGGGATTGAACGCAGGGCCTTATGCATGCGAGGCAAGCACTCTACCAGCTGAGCTATATCGCCAGTCCATTAATCTCTTCTTTAGCAGATCTTAGTGTGATTCCTTATATGAATTAGGGACTCAATGAATAATTTGTCTCAAATAAATTTACTGACTAGAGTACAAACTCTATTATGATTTATATAGTTAGTTGTAACAAGCACCTGCTTAAATTCCAAGATAGTAAATTATTATAATTCTATTACTACATAAAGTATTTTTCAAATGGAAAAGTTGTACCAATAGTTTAATTCATCTTGAGTTTTCAGAAATGTCTTGTATCCATGTTGAAAGCACTCATATTATGCTACTATTCATGCCTAAGCAGGACTTTAAAATTTTCACTCATTTTGCCTCATGTCTTCTAGCCAACCAACAATATCTAAATATCAATGGTGTACAAAAGGTGAAGCTCAGTTCTAACATAGTGTGGCTCTTGGATTTATGATACAGTGGAGGAAACCTTAAAAATGAAGTATGAATAAATAACCGTAAACAAACAACAGTGCACTAATACTGAGCATGATGTTGGCAGCATAGTAAGGTAAGAGGAGAGAGGAAATGGAGGTCGGGGATAGCTCTCTGGAGACTGGATGTGAGCTGGATTTAGAAGAAGGGCTATGATTTGATTAGCTAAAGAGAGGAAGGTAAGGTATTTCAGGCAAAATTGCTGACATGGGAGAAAAAACATGGAGGTAAAAAGGGCAAGGAATGCTTGGAGAGAAGCCAACCCATGTGGAAATAGGATTCGTGGAATATTGTGAAAGCCTTGACTCAGGATGAGTGGATAGCATTGTGTAAGGAACGAGACCCCTAACGTGGTTCCTAATGTGGAAGAGTCTCTCTGCTCCACCCCAAGACTTTCTGCTATATTTAGAGGGGATAATTAACTGGAAAAGAAATGTCAACATAGAAATAAAGAATTTCTGTTATCTTCAGAGCTGTTCTTATCACCTGAGACCAGGATTTTAAACTCAAGATGTTCTATTATATTCGGAAAGCTCAAGATATTACAATAGTTATAATAATCCTAATACCCAGTAGTTCCCTCTTATACACAGTTTCACTTCCTAAGGTTTCAATTACCTGTGACTTACTGTGGTCCAAAAATATAAAATAGAAATTTCATAAGTTTTAAATAACTTTTGTTTTTTGAGGTACTGGGGCTCAAAATTTAATTTTCATCAATCCTACTGGATAGTCATAGTGATGTTTATATGTTCATCTTTATGAATAAATGTTTTCTTCTCCATCATATGGAGCCAAAATTTTATTAATATCTTGCCAGAATAAATTTATAGTCATTGAAGAGTTTGTGAACACATCCTTGAAATAATAAAATTTCTCCCTTCCCTTATGTGTGTGTTAGGTGAAGCTTGAGATGAGTAGAAAAGATTCATCTATGTAATAGTTAACATTCAGAACAGAGATTATTGTATAAAAATAAATGTTATTGATCAAGTGTGGATTTGTTGTTGTTTTGATCACTCCTATGATTTTTATACTCATAAAATATATATTACTGTTAGTTCACATAGGTTTATCCAA